GGGCAACGTCCTTGCAAACGGCCAATTCTCTCACACCAGAAGCGACTTGCAGTTTCTCAGGTCGCTCCTGACACGAAAAAAATAAAATAAAAATCTTATCTCTAGCTACTCATTGATGATTGGAGACTTGATGACACAAGAGACTTGCGCAGTTCAGGGACAAAACAACCCAACAAAAATGCACCAAAAATGCATGCAAATTTCTATGCTTGGAAGAGAAAAAAAGGATTGGGTTAGCATAAAAAGCTGCTGAGATTCTGAGAAATACAGTAAGAGTTAATCATAGAATTATAAAATCATAGTATTGGAAGGATCTGCTCAGGCCATCTGGTCCAATTCTCTTGTTTTAATCTGTTTATATTGATTTTCCTTGCATGTTGCCCTGACAGCTTATGATATAGGAGGGGAGATGGATTTTAATAAATTTATTAAATGAAAAAGTACAGCAGTGAGTCATGAGTTGAGCAAAGAGCTATAATATGGTCTGCCTTTAGCAATGCTGGGATGGGAGGAAATCTTTCATGTTGATAAATCCTTGTTCACGAGGTTTGCTTTTGTTAAAACAGAAATCTGCTTATCGGTGGACAAAAGAACCAACCCATCTTCCTAAAATGCAATCAAGGAAGCGGTAGAGGTGTGAAAGCTGACAAATGGTCATATTTCTAACTGGAAGTCTTTCTTCAGTCTTTCAAATGCTGGAGCTCTCATCTAGGATAAAGAGCAGCTTTAATACACAGAACTCTTTCAGACTGGCCTAAAGTAGCAGGAGTTCTTGCAATAAAGCTTCTTGGTTTTGCTATTTCTTGTTGTCTTCACATCCATTCTTTTTCAGAGTTGCTTGTAGAAATGTCTGAGATTGCATTACTACATTTAAAAAACTGGAGCAAGGTTTCTTAAGGCAATTCTATGGTTTGAAGCACAATTATTTTCCTTTATTTTTTTCCTGGTAGACTTACCGTATAAGGTCAAAGTACAAAAGTGCCATTTCAGTGATGTGCTATAGCACTATAATTTTAAAAAAAGGAATAAAGGAGAAGAGCTGGAGATGTTTTGTTCGCTATGTATTGGAACAAAACATAATACACAGAGGTGGGAGTTAAAGATGGCCCCCTCCCTCCCCGCTTTCAAGAAACAGCTGAAGACGTACCTTTGCTCACTGGATTACGAGGAGTAGTAGTAGTAGTTGGTAATACTACCATTATATCTCTGATGAATAGTTACCATCCGTATCCATGCCCTGCTCACCTCACCAGCTCAATAGATATCTTGAGTAATGATTAATCTATTTGCCTCAAGGAACTGGGAAATTGTTGTTTCTATTCGATGTTTGATGTTTTGTCTTATGTCTGTTACAACAGGCTGTGTTTTTTATTTAATTTTAGTTGTTAAGTCATAACTCGTGTTTATATGCTGGGTTGTTTAAATTTTGTTAATATGGATGTATTGTTGTATTCGGTTAGTGAATGTTTGCCTTTTATATTTGGAGTCCCTTTGGAGTACCTGTCCAAACAGATTCTCCCCTACGAACCATCAAGGCTGTTAAGATCTTCTGGAGGGGCCCTGCTCTTGATCCCACCACCTTCGCAATCGCGTCTGGTGGGGACGAGAGATAGGGCCTTCTCGGTGGTGGTCCCTCGGCTGTGGAACTCTCTCCCGATAGAGATCAGATCTGTCCCCTCCCTCCTGACTTTCAGAAAGATGGTAAAATCTTGGCTCTGGAACTTAGCATTCTCAGAKTGATTATCGAATCAATAACTGTTGACCACAAGGCRGATAGTGGTGAATTTGTGATTTACCTTGACGAATTACCTTTAWGTAATTCTTGATCTGTATATTAATGTGTTTTAATGTATTAATGTACTATGATGTTATTATGCTTTAGTTTATTTGTATATTGATTCTCTGTTGTYAGCCGGCCTGAGTCCCTCCTCGGAGGTCGAGAAGACCGGGTTATAAAAGCTTTAAATAAATAAATGTGGAGATAGAGCGAAAAATAAAGAAAGTATTATTATTATTATTATTTGAAACACAACAAGATGAGTTCACARCAAACAAGATCATTCTGCTGGCTGTTGTATTGGATCACATGTAGGACACTTCTCAAGTGTCTAGGACTACGTGATGTATAGACGAATAATGCGTGCATATCCCAGTAAGGTGGTCTTTTGCAGCTGGCAGATGGTTATTATTATTATTATTATTATTATTATTATTATTATTATTATTATTATCTGTACCCGCCACATGTTGCTCGTTGCTGTGGCCAATCTTCCCTTTCTCTTTCTCTCCTTCCTTCCCTCTTTTTCTTTTCCTTCTTCTTTCTTCCTTCTCTACCTGTGTCTTTCCTCTCTTCCTTTTCTCTTTGGTTCCATCCCTCCCTCATTTCTTCCTTATTTCACTTTTTTATTTCCTTCTCTCCTTCCTTCTCTACCTTTCTTTCCTTCTCTCCTTCTTTCCCTGTTTTTTCCCCCTCATTCTCTCCTTCCTTCTCCCTTTCTGTGTATATGTGTATTGTGTGCGTATATATGTGTATATGTGTGTGTATATATGTGTATATGTGTGTGTATATTCTGTGTATGTGTTTTGTGTGTGTATATATGCATATATGTATGTGTGTATATATATTTGTGCGTATGTGTATATATGTGTGTTTGTGTATATATGTGGTTTTGTGCATACATTATAATGTATTTTTTATTTTTATTGGCTTTTCAAGTCTCTTCTGCTCTGTTTTTCAGTGTTTTCATGAGTGATGGTCACTCGTTGGCCTGAAAGGTGCACTGTGTCCAAATTTGGTGTCAATTCGTCCAGTGGTTTTTGAGTTCTGTTAATCCCACAAACGAACATTACATTTTTATTTATATAGATTATAAAATGATGCAGATGGTGTCAGAAAATGGCTAGAAAAATTGTCTAAGGATGCACCTATTCTGTTGGAAGCCATATGTGGAATGGTATGAACCCTTTAGCAACTCCCAAAGCTGCTTCTGACTCTGATACTGCCAGCTAACTTCGCAATCGTGTCAAGGTGTTGGCTATGGAGGTGCAAAAAGAGAACATTGCTCTCCACTAAGAATTTTGTTTCCCCCACATTTAATTTTATTTCATCCTCCAAATTCCTAGCAATGCAGAGGCTGGAGGGCTGAAAATCATTCACACAGCCCTATATCTTAGAACAGGGGTCCTCAAACTAAAGTCCGGGGGCCGGATGCGGCCCTCCAAAGTCATTTACCTGGCCCTCACTCAGGGTCAACCTAAGTCTGAAATGACTTGAAAGCACACAACAATCCTATCTCATCAGCCAAAAGCAGGCCCACACTTCCAATTGAAATACTAATAAGTTTATATTTGTTAAAATTGTTCTTCATTTTAATTGATTGTATTGTTTTAAAGTGTTTTTTGCACTACAAATAAGATATGTACAGTGTGCATAGGAATTCATTTATGTTCTTTTCAAATTATAATCCAGCCCTCCAACAATTTGAGGGACTGTGACCTGGCCCTTTGTTTAAAAAGTTTGAGGACCCCTGTCCTAGAATATCAAGGCAGAAAATCCCACAATATCTCCTTTGAACTGAATTATCTGAGTCCACATTCAGATAATGTGGGATTTTCTGCCTTGATATTCTGGGATATAGGGCTGTGTGGAAGGGTCCCTAGAGAGCTCCTATTTGCTCTATTTGCCTTCCCTTCTCACGCTATCTGTTCCCTTGTTTTCCTGTCAAACTCATATTTCTAATCATCAAACACTGCAATAGTGAAACTTAAAGGACTTAAGGAAAATGTCATTTTAGGTGGCACAATTTTTTTTTTGGGGGGGAGGGTTAATATCTTCATTTTGTCTTTACAAGAAACAATATGCTTCCCTAGAAACTTGGTCAGATTTTAAAAAATTATTTAACAACACATATAGTTGTTGGGTTTTAGTAGGATCACAAAAATATGGAAGTAGTGAGTAAATAACTCAGTTAACTCTAACTAGTAACTCTGTGGGGTAACAAGGGTGTGATAAAATTACATTTCACAAGCAATGCAATAGGCAAGAGTGAAGTTTCTTTCTTGATTTAATGAATTATTTTCAACAGATTTTCAAATTTTACTTTTAAAGGGCATTTTAGACTCACTTTCACTGGAGTCTTCTAAGTTTCATGCCTTCTATCAATCCTTAGGATATTTCCCAAAGAATAACATAGAATAATGCAAAAGCAATAGTGAGAACTAAAAAAAAAAAAATCTAAGTAATTACATTTTCAGCTTCACATAGGTTTGCTTGCTTTGAATAAATGTGCCTGCTTGCATATCGCTGCACAATTGGCTGACATTCTCCTGAATTTGACATTGTGATATTGTCAGAACCCAAAATGTATTTATTGATTGATTTTAGCATGGAAACATTGTGGCAGGAGAAGGTAATGGGTAATTCATTGAGGTCGAAGAGCACAGAATGTGAAGGGAGGTCATAAGAGATGGGGCAGATTATTTTATAAGGAACAAAAAATTTAATATGCTTTCCCAATCATTCACTTTCCATTGCATTTTTATAACCACGATGTCTAGAAATGTCCTTTCCAAAATCCATTACTAGCCATTGTAGTTAAGGGAGAGGGGCAAAATAGGTGCATTGCCCACTAAATTAGAATTCTGCTCTCCAAATGAAACTTTCCTTCAGTTGTCACATTTCTAGCATTGCAGTAGTTTGAAATGCCAATGGAACCTTTAGAAATATAGAGAAAAGCAATGTCAACAGGGGAATGTGAGCACAGCAAATAGAAGAGTTCCAGATATAAATTATTTTCAGGGCCTCACTTTGCAATTTTAGAAATATTTGGACTGAAGGAAGATCATCCCACTCATAAGGGCAGAATTCACATTCATATTTCATGGAGTATCAGGTTCTGCTGGAAAGTACAGAGCGGGCACGATCTAACATCGCCCTCTCAACCTCTACTAAAGCTGTGTGTTTGCTTTGGAATCAGTTTTGGAGTGGGGTTTGTTCTTACCTCTGGATTAATTTTAATTGTCTCCTCTGTGTGGTAAAGTAAGAACTTCTGCCCTGAAGAGGAGACGTTGACATACACTTGCAGGCAGGGGTACTGGGAGATTTTCCAACAGTCTGGACCACAGCTGAACGAACAGTTGAAGGTTTCTGTGATGGAGACGTTGAGGAGTGTGCACTGTGTCTCTTCTGTCCAAACACTGGGGAGGAAACAGAGGTAAAGAGAATGTAAGTGAAACCACACTGAAAAAAAAAAAAAGGATTCAAAGGACTTGGAAACCATTATGAAAAGCCAACATTGTTTTAAAATGTTTTCCAAGCATTCTTCAGAACTTTTGAATCCTAGTATGAGCTCTGCCTGCTAAAGAAATGGTAGGCTGAACCACTTCGGATCTTCCAGATTATGGAATAAATGGTATAACATGTCTTTTCAAAACTATTTTGAAACGATAAATGTAGTACAATCCCTGCATTGTGGGGGAACGTTCCAAGACCACCCGCCCCATGGATACCTGAAAGCATGGGTAACAGAGAATCCTATACTTGGGTTGGAAGCATACCATAGAAGAGCACTGGAAGACCTAGAGAAGCCCACAACCACTTCTAAGGGGGTGGGGTGGAAATATAGATAAATGAAACTATGGATATGGATTCCACAGATATGAGGCTCATGCTGTGACATAAAATACTGCCTCATAGGTACTAAGTGAGACGTAAGAGAAAATATTCCATTGCCTTCTGGGGTCTTTCTGAGTACAATTCAAAGTTCCAGATCAAGTTTGGATGTTGGATTCCAAATCCAAAGTTCTCTCTTTCAAAGGAGGAAAAAAGACATAAGAATGATTTCATAGAAACAGTATGACTTACACTGAAATTGTCCATTTTGCAGGTATATGGAATTTGTATATTTATAGGCATTTGGGAGAACTTTGGATTTGATTTTTTGGAGGATTTGGGTTTGAAAATCACAGCATTGTTTCAAATGGGGAATTCAGAATGCTTGGGGAAACTGTTGGGGAGCTTCAGGGAAGCCAACATTGACCTCAGAGGCCATATATATCCTCTGAGGTTAAGATCTTCTGGGGAAGGCCCTGCTTTCAGTCCTGCCCCCGTCGCAAGTGCGGTTGGTGGTGATGAGAAACGGGGCCTTCTCAGTGGTGGCTCCTCGGCTCTGGAATTCTCTCCCTAGTGAGATTAGATCAGTGCTCTTTCTCCTGGCTCTTAGAAAGAAAACAAAGATGTGTTGTGGGACCAAGCCTTTGGCCAGTAAAATAATACAGTGCAAGAATAATTATGAAATATGTGTAATGACAATCGGAATGGTTATGGATCATGTGATTTTAATATTTATACTGGAGCTCCCAGTGGTGCAGTGGGTTAAACCCCTGTGTTGCAGGTTCGAATCCGGGGAGAGGTGGATGAGCTCCCTCTATCGGCTCCAGCTGCTCATGCGGGGACATGAGAGAAGCCTCCCACAAGAATGATAAAAACATCAAATCATCCAGGCATCCCATGGGCAATGTCCTTGCAGACGGCCAATTCTCTCACACCAGAAGCGACTTGCAGTTTCTCAACTCGTTCCTGACATGAAAAAAATATATACTAGGATTTTTAAAGCTTGCTTTAATGCTTAAATGTTGTTTATGTCTTATAGTTAATAGTTCTAATGATTTTAATTTATAGTTATATGTTAGTGTTTAGTTATTATTATTATTATTTCTTTCTAAATGTATGTCGGCAATGCATTTTTGCATTAATATGTTGTAAACCGCCTTGAGCCCCCCCCCCCCCCCCCCCCGGGTGAGAAAGGCAGTATATAAATATATTAAATAAATTAATTAATAGCTGGAGGGTCACACTCTTTCATTCTTAGGTTTCGGTGGTATTGTTAACTTAGGGGATAGGAACCGTGGGCCTAATCTGACTTGTTGTGTGTCCTGAAGAACATCTTTCCAAGATTCTGCCTCTTCTCCACAACCTTACTCCTTGTGTACCAGGTATGTCCTTTCTTGTACATAAATAACCTGGTCACAGTAAATACAGATATCATATAAGGCCAGTCTTAAAAGCATGATGCTGGCCACCAATATGCTTTGGGCCTCAATATTTGAGGGAGAATCTTTCCCTATGTGTGCTTGTTTTAAGACTGAGGTCTGTGGGGATGGGCTTTCTTTGTGTCCTATCAATGAGGCTCAATATACAGGACTTTCTTGGTCACTTCCCACCTAGTTGTGGAATGCTCTGGACTTGATTGCTTCCAAGGCTAGTTTCATTTAATCATCAAGTGCAAACTTTGCAATTCATTAAATACTTTGGGAGCTATTATATCAAATGCTACAACACATGGTTTTAACCTGTTCTATTTTGTCCATTACGTTTAAAGTATTTTTAGTTTATTCAAATTATTTATTTGAAATGTCTTTACATGTTGTCATTAATTTTACTTCCAACTATCAAGTTTCTGAAGGCTAAAGATATATGATTGAATGTGAAAGTTAGAATTTTCCATTGTGTTTTCAGTTTCTATGTGTGGTTGTGAAAGCTGAAAAGTGAAGAAAGCTTACAGGAAGAAAATTACGTCTAAAATATAGTGTTAGAGAAGTGTTCTATGGATACAATAAACTGTTAAAAAGACAATTAAATACCTCATTTTATCACACTTTTTATCCCCCTTTTTGATGGAAAAAAGGGGGATGTGACTATTATGTGATGAAAAAAGGCTATGGTAACACCCTTGTCTGCTTGCTCACTCACCTGCCTTTCTGGCAGAACACTTTACAGGGCTGAGTCTCAGCTTTCGGATTTAGCCAAGTGAGGTGCCCTGCCTTTCAGGCAGGCAAGCAGGCAGGGGGTGGGCAGGCAGGCAAGTGAGAGAGCGAGTGAATGAGGCAGACTGGGAAGTCTGACTTGGCCACGGTAGTCCACGCTCTGGTTACATCCCGTATAGACTACTGCAACGCTCTCTATGCGGGGTTGCCTTTGAAGACTGCTCGGAAGCTTCAAATGGTCCAACGTTCGGCAGCCAGGTTGCTAACAGGAGCGGCACTCAGGGAGCATACTACTCCTCTGTTGCGCCAGCTCCACTGGCTGCCAGTTTGCTACCGGGCACAATTCAAAGTGCTGGAGTTAGCCTATAAAGCCCTAAACCAGGGTTCCTAACGAACGCATCTCCTCCTATGAACCAACTAGGAATAAAAGTAAGTGTCGAACGCTGCATCTCCTACTCTATGAAACCTCTATCATAAGGCGCGACATGTAACTGAAGTAACTGCTTGGTGTGAGGCCCTCTGGGCTCGCAGTCCCGCCTGCATTCAAGCGGGCGACGCCTGGATGGGAATGAGAGAATAGGGCCTTCCTCAGTCGGCGGTCCCCCGGCTGTGGCACGTCCTCTTCACGCGCCTGCGACTCTGTATTGAGTAGTCAATGAATCTAAGCCCCATCCTTACCTATGTGTGTGGCGGTAATCGGCGGAGTGCAAGTTTGGTAAAGATGCAGTGAGCTAGAGCCACGCTGTGGCTGTGAGCGACTCTCCACAACACAAGCATTCGATTAAGCAGTGTAATGAATATAGGAACACGGATGAACGGATGATGAGATTGGATTCTGATTTTACTGATGAGACACTAATGATTGTTATATTGATGTTTAATTGTTGATGATGCTATTGTTTTAACTGTCCCATAATCATTTTATGATGTTTTGCATTGAATTTTGCTGTTGTTAACTGCTTTGAGTCGCCTGAGGGCTGAGAAAAGCGGTATATAAATGAAGTAAGTAAGTGAGTAAGTAAGTAAGTAAGTAAATAAATAATAAACACATGGGTGAGTGAATGAAAGAAGTGCCATGCCTGAAAGAGGGTCGACGGGTAAGTGAAGGAGCAAAGCAGTACTTTGGGGTGATGAACCAGGCTGCAACAATTATGCAATGAAAGAAAAATACCAAATACCAAAATGGGGATATGGCTATTACGCAGTGGCTATTATTATGCCATGAAATATGGTAGATCCTAGAGCAAGTCAAATGTGAACTCTCCCTAGAAACCAAGCAGACTAAAATGAAGTTGTTATATGTACATGTAGCATGAGAAGATATGACTCACTAGAAAAGACAATAATGATTGATAAGTTATAAGACAACAGGAAAAGAGGAAGACTGCATTCCAGGTGGCTAGACTCAATTGAGGAAACCAGGCATGCTCTGAGTCAGAAAGACCTCAGCAAAGCTGTTGAGGATAGAGGTGACTTGGAGGCCTCTCATTCATAGAGTCATCATGAGTCAAGGTCAATTTGGTGACAGTTGACAACCACAATTAATACTATTTGTATGTGGTTCTACATTTTTTTGATTTGATAGGACTAGCCAGTGATAAATATTTCAAAATAAAATAATGATAAAAAAATAAAAAAAAAAATTAAAACAAAAAAAGAGGAGGTAAAACAATAAATCTCCCATCAGTTACAATGTTGGGTAATGTAGGGGTAGGGCCATAGGGGGAGAAATATTGTTCTGTGACTGGAAATTGGGACTTAACATGGGCTGTGTGTTTTGCATCCATTTGGAATTTGGAGGAGCTTCTCTAAATGGACAGATTAGAAATGAGAATCAGACTGATCACACCAGGGCATGGGCAAGGCTATATTCCCTAACATCATTTGGTTATGAGAGGCAATCTGGCTCCAGGCCAAAATAGTTTGTCATTCCAGATTCTACTGGCAGCGGTTCTCCAGGTTTCCAGAGCAGAGCATCCCCAGACTTAATTGGAAATGCCAGGGATCAGGCCTGTAGCCAGGATTTTGATTTGGGGGGGGGGGGGGGCTGAGTCTGAGTGAAAGACGGTCTACCCTAGCAAACCTTTTGTATCGTTACCCCAATACCCCCATGCATATGGGATATATTGAGCATGGTGATCAGATCATGATATGAATAAACATAACAGTTTAAATAATGCACCAGTAAGGCCTTTTCGCGAACCACCATGAGAAGTTCGGGGGGGGGGCTGAAGCCCTCAAGCCCCCCCCCCCCCGGCTACATGCCTGCCAGGGATGGAACTTGGACACTTTGCTTGTAAAACATTGCCTGATTACTGGAATATACTCACTGGTGTACCTAGTTTCATGATCTACTTAATTTCTTTTCCATTCCATTGTTCCTCCTTCTGCACTGCTATTGTAATCTTGGCCAGATAGTTCATTCTTTGTGG